AAGGTCATCCGGGTCAGGGCATTTATCTCAGTGCTAACAGCAATTTACAAATTTCTGCCTATTGTGACTCTGATTGGGCCAGTTGCCCCAGGTCCCGTCGGTCTGTTAGCGGGTATTTTATCATGTTAGGAACCTCTCCGGTATCCTGGAAGACAAAGAAGCAAACCACTGTTGCGAGATCGTCTGCAGAGGCAGAGTACAGAGCTATGGCAAATGCTTGTGTGGAAGTCCGTTGGATGCGAGGAATTTTACTAGCCTTGGGAGTTCCTATTTTATATCCTCCCCGATTATACTGTGACAACCAGTCCGCTTTATATATTGCAGCTAATCCTGTTTTTCATGAACGAATGAAGCATGTGGATGTTGATTGTCACACAGTTCGAGAAAGTGTCCAGCGGCATGAGGTGTCGACACGATATGTTCCTACTCGATACCAGTTGGCCGATATTTTTACTAAGCCGTTGGGCAAACCTAGTTTTGATTTTTTATTGTGCAAGTTGGGCATTCAGGATCTTCATGCACCAACTTGAGGGGGAGTGTTAGCGGGTATTTGTAATTTTGGACTGTAATTAGTTTATCGGGCCCACTTGTAACCCTAAGCCCGCTTGTACTTGTATATATACACTTGCTTGTGATTAGTAAAACCAGATCAGTTTCCGCTAAAATTCTACATGGTATCAGAGCCAGTTTTAGCCCACCTCGTTTGTCAAGGTGTCCGTCTAGACGTTCATTCCTAGCGGCCCGTTAGTCTTTAGCCCAGTTGTCCGTATGGAGTATGTACCCAACGGCCTGTGGCCTGTTTAACACGATTGCTCGTCTGGAAGTCCATACCCAGCGACTCGTGGTCCTTTAGGTGTTGACGCTCATTAAAAAAAAAGTCAAGGGATGGGAGTCCATTTGCAAGTGGTCAAACAGTTAGATTCAAAATGGCCCGGTTGTCCACTTGAGGGGGAGTGTTAGAGTCTATCCCACATCGGAAAATTGAATAGAAAAGTTATCGGTATATAAGGTCTTGAGTTGAACTAAGTAATCGATTGGATTCAATCTTTTAATGTGGTTCAACCCAAGTGTCTTATTGCCCAATCCAGTTGTCTCTACCCAATCCTAATTATAAATTCTATCAAGCCATGTATGACATGAGGGAGGAGATGATTGGGGCGGCGGCGGCGGTGGTTGTAACCATTACTTCAGAGTTTGCTCTTTCTTTTAGCTTGGCGATGTTTTCTTTGCTCAGGCGGAACATCGTCTCTGTTCTCGGAGAGGATAATGAGAAGATTTCCGGTTGGAATTCTTTGCGGGGCGGCAGAGGAATCGGGCAGGGAATGCTGCCCGAAAACCAGCGTTTGAGGGAAGGAGGTTTTGAGATCTGCGGGCATCCGCGGCGGGATATTTCCGACCAAGAATGGAAGAAGTTCCAGAAGGAGGTGCCGTCGGCGAGGGCGTGGTTTAGAGTGCAGGCGATGAAGTAGCCGTCGTGAAGCTCCGTCACTTGCACGCCCATCAGAGGCTTGGCGATTCCGTCGGCGTTTAGGACTCCGTTGAGGGGGAAGAAAGATCGGAGGATCTGGGAGACGTCGGGGTTGGTCGGATCGAGAATCGCGGCGACGGTGACGCCGGCGGCCTTGGCTTGGACGAACTCCACGCCGGCGTTATTGCAATCCACGTGAAGGGTAGAGGTGTGATTCTCCTGGTCTGTCTCCACGGCAAAGCGGCCGGCGGCCGGAGGGTAGAAAGACAGGGCGGAGGACAGAGAGGTTTTTAAGTGCTGAATCAATTTGGGGGTGGAGGTGAAGAGGCTCTGTTCTTGTTGTTGTTGTTGTTGAGGATTGGGTTTGTGGAAGAGAAGGCCTTTCTGGATGGTGGCGACTTGGAGGAACTGCAAATCCCACGGGGTTAAGTCCACTCTTGAGACATTAGATCTTTCCCCGGTTGCAGGAGAGGGAGCTGCAACGGAGCCCGTAGAGAAGACCACAACTTCTGCCATTGACGGTTGAATTTCTAACGTTCTTGCTTCAAGAACCATTTACCAATGCTATTTCTACACCAGACACAGTGTGCTATGTGCCCATGTGTGGTGTCGGTCAATGATTTTAATCATGTGGCCAAGTCTCATCTTTTAAAAAACAATCCTACTACACCTACACTTAAAAATATATCTCAAATTACAAAAGTATACACTAACATTTGATAGTTCACCTTGACACAAAATATTGTTGCGTTAACAAAAATTTGCACTAACATTTTGTATCTGTGTAAACTATTATCCTTGTATTACACTGACACAAAATGAAGGTGCATACCAGTGGTGTACAAATTAAGGTACAAATCTTGGGGTACAATTGTACAAATAGCTTAATCCTTTATAAAGGATGAGCCCATTACCCACGGTCCTCTCAAATCCGGCAGGATGGTTATTGAGAGAAAATAAATTAGACTTTAATCACAGATTGATGGTTGAGAGTGGAACTTGTACCTAGTATTTGCAGAGGTCTCATGCTTTGCGTAATTTCCTCCTAGCGTAATTGTCAGAAATTGAACTGGACTCTGGTCTATTGTTAGGCACTCTCTCTCTTTACCAACAACACAAAGCCACCAACCCATCTTTTAAGTTTTGGGATGGTAACGTCAATGATTTTTATCACTTTACCCATTACTCTAAAAACGATATATTTTTTTCACACTCTTTCTACTTTACGAATTACTCTAAAAACCAAGTTTAGGCACTCTCTCTCTTTACCAATGGCACTCTCTCTCATTTTCTTCAAACTCTTTCTACTCCTCAACCAATTAATCTAAAAACGATATATTTTTAATTTGATTATTATTATTATTATTATTATTATTACTATTGTTATTATTATTATTATTGTTATTATTATTATTATTACTATTATTATTACAACTGTTATGTTCATAACTATAATTTATAAATTTTACTTTATTCATCTCACTATTTTCTGGTTCAGCACGTTCTCACATGTCCAAAAGCTTGAGTGGGAACCTCCACCTTTAGGACAAGGTGGTTTCTAAGGGGGCGAGAATGATAGGATACTCCCTCCGTCCCCCAGTTTTTGTCCACTTTTGACTTTTGGAATTGTTCATCTAAGCACTTTGACTCATCAAATTCTCTCAATGTGTAAGACTAAATATAGTCATGTGTGATCTTGTTTGATTTGTCTTAACATATAGATTATTAATATATAATTTCTATAATTTTTTAATATACAAATTACAAGATAAAATGGATTAAAGAAGTGCATTGGATGTTGTGTAAAAATGAAAGTGGACAAAAACTGGAGGACGGAGGGAGTAATATATTAGTCATATTATTTATTAATTAGTAGTCTTTATTATTATTTTGTATTTAATCTAGTTTAGGGTTTAGTTACTTTAGTATGGGCCCGAGCCCATTAGGTCATTTTGTGTTACCGTATTACTGTCTATATATTGTAATCATTTCCCGTTATTATGGAATCAATAAAGAAATATCAAAACCCTAATCTCCTCCTCTATTCTTTTGGAGTTCGGAAATGCTCGAAGTTTTCCATCATTCTCTACCTGATATTCTTAGAGCTTGAAGAACGCTCGAAGTTCTTCCCTATCCGATAAGATATTCGTATTAGATACACCACATTTGGAATATAACACACGTACACCAAGCCAAAAATAGACACACAAAATATCTGTCCAAGCATAAAGATTATGGGCATGTTTGGGAATAGCGTTAGCGATTAGCGTTAGCGTTTTGAAAAGACTATCTACGGGCAGCGTTTAGCGTTAGCGTTTTCAAAGTAATCTGCACCGTTAAAATTTTATCCAAAACGTTAACACTAATCTTTAACGCTATTCCCAAAGAGACCCTATGTGTCTGTGTGTGCCTCGCCTGCTGTGAGAAAATACATGGAATTACAGAAAATACATGGAATTACTGAATCCGTATATACTCCAAGAAATCAGGATCCTTTACCAGTCCCTCTAATGTCCTGCCATCAATGCACATCTCAATATCAACACTCCCCTGTTCCTGTCCGCCATACAGCGTCACCTTCCCGTCCGGCTTATTCGCGCCGCCACTCCTCACCGCCACCGCTTCCCCCCAACCAAAGTCGGTGCCGTACACGTCGAACCTCGGAGAGCTGCTCATGAGCAGTGCGTTCGCCGACAAAAGCTCCCCCTCCCCGAACAGATCCGATGATCTCACCCAATTCCTGTAGTGTTTTTCCACTTCCTCGCTGCTCTGTTTTCCCACTGCTTCCTTGAGCTGCCACGCCGTCCACCCCAATCCCCTGTTCAACACCTCCCCTGCTTTCGCCGTCACCTTCACCATGTACGCGCCGTTTCCCCAGTACCCTTCGGGGAGGGGTACCCTTGCCCGCGTTCCCACGCCCATGATGACGTGGACGTCTTCGTCTAGATCGAGGCGTCGGGCTCTGGTGAGGGACCGCCATACGTGGGCCGTGTAGGCCTGCAGGGAGGAGATGGAGTTTTGGGGCATTCCCATTTCGGAATTGGCTTTCTCTTTGAGCTTCGCGATGCTTTCTTTGCTCAAGTGGAACACCCTCTCCGGGAGGAGGGAGGGCGGGAGGTTGCCCGGAAACGATATTTCGCCGGGGATAGGAACCGGACGGGGAAAATTGTCCGGGAACCAGCGGTGGTGGACGGGAGGCGTGGAAAGATGGGGGAGACCGCGGGATAGTTCCGACCAAGAACGGAAGAAGTTCCAGAAGGAAGTGCCGTCGGCGAGGGTGTGGTTCAGAGTGCATCCGATGAAGTAGCCGTCGTGAAGCTCCGTCACCTGGACGCCCATCAGAGGCTTGGAGATCCCGTGCACGTTGCGAATTCCGTTGAGGGTAAAGAACGATCGGACGATTCCGGGCACGTTGTTATTGGAGGGATCAAGAACGGCGGCGACGGTGACGCCGGCGGCCTTGGCTTCGACGAACTCCACGCCGGCGTTGTTGCAATCCACGAAGAGGGAAGTGGTGCCATCCACGGGGTTGGGCTCGGCCGCAAAGCGGCCGGCGAGGGGAGGGTAGAAAGCGAGGGCGGATGAGAGAGAGGTTTTCAGGCGAGGAATGAATCCCGGGGCGGCGGAGCTGGGGATGCGGAAGAGGAGGCCTTTCTGGATGGGTCCGATGTGGAGGAACTGCAGATCCCACGGCGTTAAGTGCACCCTCGCCACGGTGTTTGAGGTTTCAGAAGCCGCCGCAGCAGCTCCGACTAAGCAGGTAGATATGACTTCGGTTTCCGCCATTTGGGAAGAAGGATCTAATTGTGTTCCAGAATCCAAAACTGAGATGATTTTAGTTTAGGCCTTCACGCAAATGCAATTGGGAGAGAGGACAGTACATTTAATTTCGAGAAATTATTGGCAGGAGCACGACATCCAATTATTGAAGCTGTCTCTGCATTACTGCAGCATTCGAGTCCATATGTGTACGGTGAATGAATCAATTAAAAATGCATTTAAAGATTAGTGTTTTCCGAATTAATCAGCGTTAGAGATTAGCGTTGACACTTTGAAAAGGCTATTTGACGGTGGCGTTTAACATTAGTGTTTTTCAAATTAATCTACACCGTTAATATTTTATCCAAAACGCTAACACTAGTTGAAAACGTTCTTCTCAAACAAGGCCAAATTATACCACATATACAATCCGGTTATTTTTTAAGAAAATTATTGGATAATATTTTTCCCTTGTTGGTGTGTGGGTAAGCATATTGAAAAGTAAAAAGCTATGTGTACACCATATGTGTACATCACTTGTACACCATACATACCCCTTAACTTTCCATAACCCCCTCCCCCGCTCCATCTCTCTTTCTCTCTCTCTCTCCCCCCCATCTTTCCATAACCCCTGTTCTCTCTCTCTCTCAGATTTCTCCGACGAAGCAGGGAGCGAGCGACTACTGGAAGACCAGCCCTTCTCCCAGAGCTCCTCCTTCGTCTTCCTCAATTTTTTGCACCCATCCGGCCACGGTAAAATAAAAAATTAAAGGTAATAATAAATACTTATATTTCAATTTTAGGGTTTTTATTTTGTAAATCTAGATTCAATCGCTCAATCCTTCCCTTTTGTGAAATCTAGATTTAATCATTGTTTCTTGAACTTGTTCAATTGTTTATTTCCTTTTTTAATCTCTTTCAGCTGCTAATTTTTCATTAATAACATGTTGTAATTGGGCATTTTTCATGTTTATTACGAAATGTCTGTGTAGTACTTCTTACAGGTGTAAAATGTTTGTATTCTAATTAAGAGTATTCGATTTCAAAACTTGTTTTGAAATGTCTATGATGTGCTTCTTGCTTGCATAAAATGTCTGTATTTAAAAAAAGAACTTGTTCTATTTCATAAATACTTGAAAGTGTTTGTTAGTGGCATAGAATGTCTGTTTTTCCAAATAAGGATGCTCAATTTCAAAACTTACTATGAAATGCGTGTATACTAATTAATAGTTTGCCTTATTTTAAAAGTTGCTTTGAAATGTATTTCGAGTGTGTATTATTAGCTTAAAATCTATGTATTTCATTATCACCAATGTTTAAGGTTTTTCAGTCAATAAATCACCGGTGTTTTACTTTGGTTCAATGGCACATGAGAAATATGAATTCTACTATCTAGAAAGTGTACATGATTTATGTTTGCTTCATAAACATTCTTTATTCGTGATAAATAATAATTGTGATTGAATTACTTTTCTTGAGCATACACGGAGCTCACAAATGTTTACTGTCTGTGAATTTTTAATCACAAACACTGTGTGTCTGTAATCACCGATACTACATATTTGTAAATACCTATATACAGACACTAAGTAAATTCTTCAGTTAAAATCGTTAACTACCTATAAAAGTGAATCTCATAGTCATAGATAGTCAATGTGTTGGTTAGAATGTATTGTTAGTTTTGATTTAAATTTGTTATTAATTTACCAATGCATTAATTTACTTCTCATTTTTTTTAGTTTTTACAACATTAACAAGATGTGTTGAAGTTGTGTGCTGAAAGGTTGCTTCTTGCAGACGATGGCCGAAGTCAATATTGGTGATGGCAAAGATGTAATCATCACATGTCACTAGAATTTTTTATTCTAAAATTTTGTAGGATGTAATGTTTGGTATATAAAGTTTGGGTGTGATACAATTTTGGATGTTCTCAGTTCTTTTGCTTGCTTTAATGGTGGAATTGAAAAGGGAAATTTAATTCTGCTTTGTTTGTTTCTCATTCTTGAAAACAATATCTCATTGTGCTATATTATAACTTACACTTTATTGTAACTACATCTCCCCCTTTTTTACTACATCTAGTTCTTTGTTCTTTGTAGTATTATTTGTTGTGTTTTATGGTCACATAGACAAAAACTGTCTTTAATTAATCAGAAATAGATGTTCATTGTCTATGTAACATGTATAAAAATGAAATCCATCAAATATATCATGTAATGGAACATAAAGAACATTTCACAATTTCTCTATATTGTAAAAAAGAGTTACAATTAACACGGCTTAGTTACATTGACATAGACAATATATATATATGTAATTCTTGATCAAAAACATTTCATCAAGACTATCACAGGCACTAGTTGTCTGTAATTTCAGTGACACAGACGGTAGATGTCTATGTGATAGATAATTATTCATAGAAAAGCAAAAAGTAATGTTTGGTCAAATAGACAATAAACGTTTGTAATTCATTAAAAAAATGTTTATTGTGTGTATAACCTGTATAAAAACTAATCCAACAAATATACACATAGTGGAGCATAAAGAGCATTTCACAATTTTCTATAGATTGTAAAAAAAATAAAACAGCTATAATTACCACTGTTTAGTTACATAGACACTAAATATATGTAATTCTTGATACATAGACACTTATTATCTGTGTAACCTGGATGAAAATATCACCCGTTAAATATGCAAAAAAATAGAGTATCAAGAGCATTTACAAATTTAATTATGTTTAAAACAAAAGAAAAAACAACAATCAACGCTGTTTAGTTACACAGACACTAAAATTCTGTAATTGTTTGAACACAGACATTTACTGTCTGTGTACTCTGAGTGAAAATTGAACCACCATCTCTGCCAAAATCAACTGCTCCGGCGACATTGTTGAAGACCAAGAAAGTTGCGGTGACGATCATAGAGGAGCGGGCGACGAGGGGGAAGCAGGTGGCGGCGAAAGAATTGAAGGCGTGGTTCGTCGCCCTACTCCGATCTAGATCTCGGGGACGATGATGACGATGATGATGGCGCTTCTGGGCGGCTGCGGGGAGCCCACGCCGTGCAACTTCTGGGGGCGCCGAAGATGAAGGTAATCATCGGCGGAGAGGAAGAGAGATGCAAGATCTAGGGAGGAAGAGAGAATGAGTTAGAAAAGGAGATGATGAAGCCTGGTGCTGCGTTGAATCCGTTGATCATCGGCAGAGAGGGAGGAAGTTGAGGGATCTGAAGAGGAAGAAAGAGTGAGGAGGAGAGATCTGTGAATGAGAGGGTAGGGTTGGTTATGAAATGGGAATGAGGGGTGTATATGGTGTTCATTTGAGGTACACCAAGTGGTGTACCCCTAGCAGGACCGTATTGAAAATTCCAATGCAATACGAGTACTCCACTACTGTTTTTAGAATACTTAATTTTCAATTTAAATTGACTTTTAAAAAAATTGGAGCACGAACTGCCCCTGAATTAACGCCAATTACGCCATGTTCTTTCACGATGTGCCCTCTGTCAATTTTTTTTATTTTTATTTTTATTTTTGAATCCGCCACACTACCATTATCTTAAACGCTACACTAAGTTTTTTTAGGACGAAGAATTCGCCAATTGTAATGGAGGTACACTAAAGTGAGCAAAATAAAATATTTAAATGGGTGATTAATATAATGTCTCAATTAATGATATGAAGATAATATTGTTTGACAAATGTGTTTGTGCCATGCATGGGCATGGGATTTGTTGTTTATGTTCAAGAATTCCCTTACACAGTTGATCTACAAAGTCTCACGTCGTCATCTACAAAGTGCTGATCAAACCTACTAAAAAGTCAATTTTAATTAATTGATAATTAACCGTTGTTTTTCTCCGAATAGATGCTCCTCCATCATATATACGAGATTTAGTAATCACGCTATTTCTCAGAAGGTGATCTATGTTAGACAATAATAATAGTATTACTTGTGGTAGTATTGGTTGTGGTAGTGTTTCATTATTAGTCAGCTTTCTAATCCTATTTGTGGTAGATGTTGTATGTTAGTTAGTTTCTATTCTATATTCCTAGTTGTGTTAGGAGTCTCTCCTATATATACTCTATCATGTACTTCATAATTCAAGAGAGCAATATTATTTTTCCAATATTTCAACAATCTATGTCTGTTTAGTTTCATCAAATTTTATTGACATAAACACGCAAAATTACAAACCATCATAAATATATGTTAACATTTTCAATTAGGGTTAGTAATTTGATTTTTTTAATTATTTAGATTAATTTGAAAACATTTAAACATGTTCTCAAATGAACACTAAGCTATAAAATTGTTAAGTTAAATTGATTTATTAAGTAATACTCCCTCTGTCCCATGAAACATGAGACTTTTACTTTTTAGGAGAGATTTAAGGGGAGTGTATTTTGGTATTGAATTTCCAAAAATGTTCTTTGATGTGATGGGTAAAAGTATGATTTGATGGATAGATTATTAGTAAAAAGGTATGATGTGATAGTTAGGGTATGAAAAAGTAAGGGGTAAAAGTGACTTTTTAAAAGAAATGAGAAGTGTTTTGTGGAACTGATAAAAAAAGAAAGGAGAAAGGTTTCATGGGACGGAGGGAGTATATCATTACGTTTATACAGAATGCATATTTACTAGGAATACAATACGCATTTAATATAATTAAGGTTAATTATTACATGCATTTAAAGTTCATGATAAAAGTATATGCTAAATAAGTATTTTGAAGTATCGATACTTTTAAAATTTAAAAAAATAAAAAAATCCATGTAGATCTTAGGTCCACCATAGAATCACTCATAAATTAAAATAAGTTGGGATGTACAACTAAAATTAAATAAAGAAAAGAAGAACAATGGTAGATTAATGAACTAATTAATTTGAAACTTGTAGAGCTACCAAAATTAAACCAAATCTTAAGCCAATGGAATGACTAGACTGTCACCTCTTATGGACCATAATAAGATACGCATGGACAAGGAATTGGATGTTCGGCGGTCAACCTATTGAAATTCGAAGCTCTTTTCTCTTCTCTTATTTATTCACTCCGCATCATCATTCAAGAAGAAAGAAAGACTATTAAAACCGACCATACACTTTTTTTCTTGATTTCTTCATTTCTCCATTTCTGCCACCACTTCCTACCACCTCCGCCGGCACCCCGCGGTGGCCATGGGCTTCGACGAGGACACCGGTTCGCCGCCCTTTCAACGCAAATCCCCAGTTGATCTCAACACCAAGATCATGATCGCTGCCATAATCTCAGTAACGACAGTCATCTTCCTCCTCACTCTCCTTCACCTCTTAAGCCGTCCGGACCACCGGCGGCGCACGGCGATCCAACGACTATTGCTCACTTCTGCCGCCTCTCGCCCGACGCCGAAGACGGGGCTACACCCCTCCGTTGTGGCGGCGCTTCCGGCCTCTGCTTTCACCACGGCGGAGGGGAACGAAACCGTTATAGAGTGTTCGGTTTGTTTGAGCGTAGTGCATGAGGGGGAGACCGTAAGAATGCTGCCAAATTGCCACCACACTTTTCATGCAGAGTGCATAGACCAATGGTTCGGGGGTCAGTCGTCATGCCCCATTTGTCGTGCGGAGGCCGCGCCACGACACCCCATGCTGCTAACCCCCGAGCCACGAGAGTCTGCAGTCGGGGCGGGCGCGGAGCCGTCTCACACGGAGGGGATATGGACGAAAGTTAGTAGTGGGTCTTTTCTTTCGAGCTATCCGTTGAGTTCCTTTAGGAAGATGCTAGGTAGTGGAGAGAGAGTATCATGTAGACTAGTGCAACCTTGTGAGGGAGAAGTTGTACCAGATCTTGAGGGACAATAATTTGTGAGGGAGAAGTTTTTTTTTTTTTTTAACAAGTTATTTTTCTAAAATTATTTTTCTTTTCTGTGTTTGGCCACAAATTTGAAGACGTATTTTTTTCATTCTGTCATTTGGGCATATCTTCGAACACTTCATTGGCATTCAACTACAAATATGATTTGTCTTTTACTTTTTCAACAAAAACATCATTGAATAAGAAGAAAATTTAATCCCAGAGAGATAAAATAAAAATTATGCCCTTCGAAAGAAATTTGGGGTGTTAAAATTACGGAATGTCCAAGTGATGCATCTCCTTGGAATCGCTACTGTGAGAGAGTGAAAAGATTGGCCCACATGGTTTCTCCCGCACAGGTTGCAAACTGGGTAACTTGAGGGATTGGATCGGTTGCACCCCGCTTGAGATTGAGCCGGCGAAGAATTGGTCTTCTTGGAGTCCTGGGTACCAAAGGTACCCCCGAACAGCCGGCCAAATAGCGCCAGAAGCCCCCGTGGTTTGTAAAATATGCACCAAAACTCCTTCTGTTTTCAAAACTTATTTCTAAAGTCCTTGTGGTTTCAAATTGCTGCACCTGTGCCCCCTCTGATCATTTTCCGGCCATTTTTATGGCGAAGAAGGGGGGCATTGCTGCATATTTACTAAACCATGGGGAGTATCGGTGGTGATATTTATTTCTCGCTTATTTTTTTGTTTTTTTCCATTTTTTCCTTTATTTGTTTCTTTTATTAATAAAGATTTTTTTTAAAAATTATTTTTATAATGTTCATAAAATTTAAAGTTATTTTTATTTGAAAAAATTAACATATAATGTATATGTACTTCTCAAATCAACATTTTTTTGTTTTTTCTGAAAAAACTAAACTTTTTTTTTTGAGAATTTCAAAAAAATGAGGAATAAAATAAGAAATAAAATAATACAAAAATAAAAATGAATATCTTTTTCGAACATCTCAATTCTAAGGAATTTTTTAGGTTTGTCCATTTTTTTGTACAGGCTTTTTTTGTGTATTTTTATTTTTTATTTTTCCATATTTTTATTTTTTTATTCTAGGTTTTTCTTTTTGAATTTTCCAAATAAGTACGTAACAAAAAGTGAAAATGTTTAATTTCAAATAGATGCAATGTATGTTAATCTTTTTATTTTTATTTTTTTTCAAACACAAAAAATTTTAAAATTTTAAAACATTATAAAAAATTGAAAATAAATTAGAAAAAAATATAGGAAGAGAAAAAAGAGATAGAAAATATTTTTTAAAAAAAATAAAACAAAAATAATAAACGAAAAATAAAAAATGAGCACGAATGCCTCCTATGATTTAAAAATTATGCACAAATGCCCCCTCTTCGCCGGAAAACGGTCGGAAAATGATCAGAGGGGGCACGGGTGCAGCATTTTGAAACCACGGGGACTTTGGAAGTAAGTTTTGAAAATAGAGGGGGTATTGGTGCCAATTTTCCAAACCACGGGGGGCACCGGAGCTATTTGGCCCCGAACAGCCTCTTATGACCATGTGATGCGCTAGGTGTGGGTCGGGTATTTGGCCCAACTTTCTCAGCTTTCAAACTTGTTGTGTAGTCATCAACATCCTTTTTAGCTTTCGCCATAAGATCATAGGCCTCTGAGAAGTCTGTAGTAGTCAGTATAGACACATGTGGTAGAATATCAGGGCGCAACCTCTTCCTAAATTCTTCAATCGACTCCGCCGGTGTGGATACCAGCGTAGGGTCGAACTAGGCTAGGTGGCCAAACCTTTGAAGTAGCTCATCGAGGTTCATGTCCCCCTACTACAGTTCAATAAATTTTGTACGCTTCTCCTCACTGAAGCGGGGCGTTATGTATTCCTTCTTGAAAGACCAATTAAAATAGGCCCAAGTCTAGGGTTTCGGTGTCTTCTCGTCACTGTCAACGTGTTTTCACCATTTGTACGCTCCTTTACGGAGCAGTTGAGTTGCTAGTCTAGGGGATCCGTTCCTGGAATATTCACGTCTTTCAGCACCCTGGTGACCTGGTCAATCCAATTTAATGCTAGTTGGGGAATAATGATTTGGTCCCCGAGGAACTCTTCCGCTCACATGTGTTTCAGTGTTTTGAAGGTGATCTGACAAGGTTGTGGTGGAGGAGGTGGCTGAAACATTGGTGCATTCACCATAAGCTGCAAGAACTATGACAGGAAGGCAGGCAAAATGGTGTTCAACCGGATGGTGAATGCACCAATGTGTTCTGATTACGTAAGGCGTTTAAGGGAATATTCGGCTATTTGGAATTTTGCTAGGGAACGAAGCTAGACGGTTTGGAGTGGGCATCAACGTGCTTGTCGTTGTTGTGTTGTGTGTTACTATGACCGTGAGTTGATGCCTGACTCATTCTATAAATATAAATTTCCTAATTAGTAAATATATATAACATGCAAAGCTAGAAACTTGCTACCCTTCCAGGGCAGATGAGTCGCAATAGTTGTGGTGGCATTTTTAGGAATCATTTATTTCTAATCAAACCATAACTATTCATGCTTTCAAACCAACAAATTAAACTATCAATAGTCTAAAACGAAACTGTCACAAGTAAGTTTTCACATATATCAACTTATTCTCAATAATTAACTAATTATTCTCAATTTATTATTTTTGATAGACTTGATTTTGGGGCGTTACATCCCATACCAAAATTCATAAAGGATAACCTAGCTCCTCTTGTGAGGAACTCTAATTAACAAGTAGCAGGCCATTAATATAGTCTCTCCCCAGAATCCTCACTCAAACTTGAGTAGGACAACATAGATTTTACCATTTTTCTTAATGTCCAATTCTTTTGCTTGGCTATTCCATTTTGTTGTGTTGTATAGAGAGCGATGGTTTCATGAATCATACCAACAGATTGAAAATAGCTAAGGTCATAATATATACCTCATGTATCACTTCAAAGCGTTTTAATCAAGCCATTTTGTTGCAACTCTACCTCATTTTGTATACCTTTAAATTTCTAAAACTTATCCTTAAATGCAAAAGATACATACTACCTCGTCCCCGAGTATTTATCCAGTTTTAACTTTTTTCGATCAACTATTTTCAATCTTTGACCTATAATTAATTAAAATGTATATTATATACTCTCTCCGTCCCATAAAACCTTTCTCCTTTCTTTTTTTATCCGTCCTACAAAACACTTCTCATTTCTATTAAAAAGTCACTTTTACCCCTTACTTTTTCATACCCTAACTATCACATCATACATTTTTACTAATAATCTATCCATCAAATCATACTTTTACCCATCACATCAAAGGATATTTTTGGAAATTCAATACCAAAATACACTCCCCTTAAATTCCTCCTAAAAATCAAAACTCCCATGTTTCATGGGACGGAGGGAGTATTAATTAGATAAATTAATATTTTGAAAATATTTAATATAAGAAATATAATAAAATATTTTTGTATCAATATCTAGTACGGAGTATTATTTTTGTTTAATTTGAGGTCAAAATTTACTAATTCTGACTAAAAAATCAAAAGTCGACAAATACTCTAGGACGGAGGGAATATAAGAAAACCTAGCTAGAGGCATTATCTATAAAAGTGATCACGTATTTCTTGTTTCCTATAGATGGAGTTGCATGAAAATCACATACTCCCTCCGTCCTATAATGATCTTCCCGGTTCGCAAAACGAAGAAAAATCCCAAGTTTTTTCAATCTATTTTATTTAAATATTGGTATAGAAATAAAAAATAAAACATACATATTTAAAAACTACACCAAAAGTTCAACAAAACAAGTGGTGACAAGAATATTTTATTTTATCATATAGGCCATGAAAAAACACAAATAAATATAAATTCTCGTGAAGTTGGAATAGTGCTCTGGGAAGATCATTATAGGACGGAGGGAGTATATCACTATGCATAAATTACAGCACCTTTAAGTCCCTTTTATGTCCTTAAAAGGTTTTCTTGTTATCTTTGTCAACGTGTCTTGTAATCTTTTATAACGGTGGGAATTAGGCTACATTTGGACATGTCTTGTAATCTTTTATAATGCACATTTTCAAGGGTTATACATTTCCCAATCCCCAATACATATAATACATTTTCAAGGCCGAGTTATACATTTCCCAGAAGCACATACAAGTTTAACAAATTCAAGCAGACCCTAATTGAAGAAGCCAAACAAGGATTGGTTGCAACAATCAAATAGCATGCAGTATTCTTCACCGTCAATGGATGTGCACCCGACCTGACAGAAAATCAGCGACGATCACTAGGAGCAACAGCGACGACAAACGGACGTTTCGTTCAGCAACGACTAGGGTTTAGTGATCCATGCATGGCTCTGATACCATGTAAAACTTTAAAATTTTATGCACAATAGATTTGGGTTTTTTATTACCCGAATCACGAATAGACACAAGTATAAGATTACAACTAGACCCTAAACTTGACACATTAACGATATTTAGCGTCTTAGCCTATTTACAAAATAAATATTGGCTAACCATTGCTTTGTCGTATGGGCCATTATATTCTTCCATGCATATATTTTAGGGTGAATGTAAAACATCTTTTATACTCCGTATTCATTATTAAAGAATTTCATTGTACTCCGTATAAATAAAGTTACTTTTGTGACATAACAACAACAAAAGAATGTGAATACCATCGAGAACATAAGTGAAG